TTTTGGCACCGGATTGTTGTTTTAATTGATTAATTATCACTCATTTTTATGTAATCAATACTATTTAAACAGTATTTCTTAAGAACAGTCATTTAAATATAAACAAAATGCACGAAATAAATGTTTATCCACATTAAGTTGAAAAAAATTAACTAAACCAATTAGAATATGTCCCTGAACATTATGAAATTGATAAATTACCATCTTATAAGTTACTTTCTATGGAAATTAATTACTATTAATGCTAACCGCATATTAACTGAAACTGAAATCAGTAAAAATCAAACATGAGTTACACTTTTTTTATACATATTTTAATAAAATTCAATACATTTACTATATTTATACTGTATATCGAAATTACAATCAATAGTATTTCAATATCAAGTTTAAGGCAAAATATAATGTTTTTATAATAGTGTATATTTTTTTAATAAAACGTTTAGTTTATTTTGACGCTCATTAGACATGTGATAACACTTTCATAATCTAATAGATCTTTATTATCTGTAGTTAATAACCAATATATGCGCTGAACATCTCATTAATTACATTACTTTCTACCATCAGTCTAAATGTGGGTGTTTTGCAAACACTCTCACAGGAAACTATGTTTCAGTTAACCATATATTTAAAATTGATTGACCAGTACTGGACAACTGACCACATCTCGACCAAACGGCACCAATTATGATGACCCCGACCTTAATTGAGTTTTATTTATACTTAATGTCTGCCAATCATATATTTATGAATGTGTCTCTTCTGGAGGGAGGTATCGATGCCATCGCCGTTGACACTCGTAAATTTCATATGATCTTCGTATTCAAAGTAATTCATTAATGTAATTAACATATCGATAGGGCTAACATTTCGATTAATTAATTGAAAACCATATTTCATTATTAATTATTACAAAATTTTCTATATTAATCTCCTGTGATGTTATTAACAATTTACATCTATGTAAAAAACTGTATAAGACATATTGTATAATATGATGTAATTATTACATTGTAATAGTCCTATTTGTTATATCATGTTTGATTAATATACACATGAAATATTGTAATTAAAAGCTTTTGCTATAAATACTATATAAATAAAAGGGCCGACAGTTTTTGGTACTCGACGAAAGGGCAGCGGTCATCAAAAAGGGAGAGACGGGTAACGTGTTTGGCGGACAGCTGGCCGACGGCGTCGACGCCGCTATGATTTTACACAACGATAATTACGACGACTTTTTTCATCACGATTTTCTATTTTTATTTAAAGGTAACTTTAGTTTCATGTGAAATATATATTTGCCAGATAAATATATTCCGGATTTAACCAACTATCTCATTTTAACCTCTCTCTCTCTCTCTCTCTCTCTCTCTCTCTCTCTCAAACACAAAAATACCAATCTGGTATTAATTGTGGATTAAATACTTTACAAATGTATTATGATAAAAAATAGGTGACAATATCTGGCGATATGTTGTATACCGTTTCGGCTCCGATCAGCTAATAATATATAGCATAGAAGACATGACTATAAAATTGACACAAATTCATCCCAAACTACCGGACAGTATTGACGGCGCCTTTTCTGACAAGAATTATATCTATTTATTTAAGAATAAGACTCAATATAGGGTTAAAAATGATAATTTCCCGGTTCGTAGAATTACCAAGGTAATGATGACAATATGATAAATTAATTGTTGCATAATTTGGTAGCGAACAGTGGCCGTGAGTGGGCTAACCATTCACCAAGAGCTGGACGGACTGATCCCGAGGAAAGAGGTGGTCATTTCTACTATATTGGACCGATTGGTATACGAGACACTGGCTTTTGGCACATATGTGATGGGAAAACGGTCTCAGTATTATTGGTTATTATTGTATTCATTACTTATAACAGGAATTGTATTAATTGTATACATGTTTGTACTGGCGTTAAGAGTCGGTTACAAACGGGTAGTCAATACAATGACCCGCGCGGACAGCGCCGGCTCTTTTGTCATATGAAATTGTGTGATATTTTTAAATATTAATTTGTAAAATATAATATTATTCTAATTTGTATATATTTATTCTTAACATTATTTTGTAAATATTTAAAGCATTATTTTTTTTGTTCTAGTTTATTCTGGTATTTATTTTTTTGTTTACTTATATTATTTACAATTACCTCATTTGTTAAACAACTTATTGTGATATTTTTCTGTTTACACATTAATTCAATTTATTAATTAAATGTTATATTGCATATTAATTTATATTCATATACATGTAATTAATGTATCACCTCTCAGTATCTTTCACAGAGAATACAACTATATAATTATAATTTAAATAACATTAGATATTTCATTATAAAGACACGATTTATTACAATCTATATTAACCAAATATAATTTGAGATAATCATATTTTGCAATAAATTGTATTGATATATAAACATAATATTTATATCAGCATCTTATTAATCAGTATTTAATGTGATATTAATATAGTATAAAATTTTATTAATACATTTAAAAAAGGTTTATAATTATTTACTAATGACCAAGTATCAATATGATTCATTATACAGTATATTTTAATTATTTATAGAGACGGAGAAACAGTATTTAAACAATTAATAACTTTATTAATTATACCGTATTTAACAATTAAAATATACTTACGATTCTTAATAGAAATCAATATTTTGTTGGATATTCCGTATATTTCTAGTTCTGGTTAATAATTAACCAAAAGTTTAAATTATAATATTAATTAAAACACACAATAATGTTTATAAATAATTATATTTATCAAAATAGTGTTGAGAGGTCTGTATCCAAACGAAGAGTGAATTAAAGTCAATATATATTAAATATTTTTATAAAAAATTTCAATAACAAGTGTTTTGACAAAACAAACATAACTTTATTTCATTGCATGCATTGAATCACAACTCTTTTGGTTTTGATATTTATTTTTGTGCTTCACTTTAACTGTTGGGCTCTTATCAGTGAAACAAGTTATTAATATATGAAATATTTTTATATAATTTAGTGCCCGTTATCTTTTTGTCATACACTGTACCATATAAAATAACTTAAGGGTAGGGGACTTATATACCCTTGGTAAAATATTTTTGTTCTTTTTATCAGATAAATTGTCCTAAAATTGTTATTTGTAAGAACATTGTAAATTTGTTTGTATAAAATAATTTTTGCATGTTGTATTTATTTAAATTTATAATTGACTAATATGTTTACAATGGTTAGTAGTAAACTGAGTTTTGTATTTAAAATACAGTATATATTATTTCTATGCACACCTTTAATCTAGATCATTTTAACCGTTTGGTTATTTTGGCGCCTCTCATCTCCTGTGTAGTACACATACCGGTGTTATCAGTAAATTGTGCTCATGTACTACACAGAGGGGTAAAATATTTAACTGATAATATATAATGAATAGTAAACTAAACTACACTGTATGTTGTTATTAAATATATGAAAATAATAATTTATTTAATAAATGTAAGCCTCATATAAATGGCGTGAATTGATTAACAACATTATGAAAGTCTTGTTCAGTATTACGAAATATGTTGATAATAATGATACTTTATCCTCAACACAGGAATTTAATAAAAACGACAATGATTGCATAAAATGTCAATTCTATCATTAATCCTATGGATTAATCTCTCTCTCTCTCTCTCTCTCTCTCTCTCTCTCTCTCTCTCTCTCTCTTTCAGACAATTATTTATTTGTGTGACAATCGCTGAAATAGGCGTCAAAAAGGCAATGAAATTATTTAATAATNTCTCTCTCTCTCTCTCTCTCTCTCTCTCTCTCTCTCTCTCTCTCTCTCTCTCTCTCTTTCAGACAATTATTTATTTGTGTGACGATCGCTGAAATAGGCGTCAAAAAGGCAATGAAATTATTTAATAATAAAAGTACAGAACTTTTTATCTCTATTTAGTATTTATTGTGTATTTGATTAGCAAATAAATTCGTGATTTGTGCAACAATTGTATTGTTGGTTCCCACATAAACTAAAGTATGTGGTCAATCTTACAGTAGTACAATTATATATTTTCATATAGATCCAATCCTATTAATTTTAACATAGATTCTTATATGTACAACATATCTATTAATGTGTTGTATTAAATTTACACCTAATATAACACAAATATTAACCAGAAATATAAGTATAACATTTTGGGCCAATGTATTCACAATATTTCCAAAGGTTTTAAGAAATTAAAACTTCTTACAAACTGCGTATTATTTACATGGTAACAATTATGGTTATAACTTTATTACAACTATTTCTTATTATATATGTTGTAAATAGTATTAAATGTACTGTATGTAAAATTATATGTATGTATTATTAAAATTTGTGATCATCATACAACATGATTTCTTGCAAGGAATTTTTTATTTCGTAAGAATAATAGATAATATTAAAGTTGCCATAAGTTTTAGATTTAAATAATAAAATAATTATAAAATTTTGTAATCATTTAGAGTGAAACAGAAGCCACAGTGAAAGTAAGTAAAGTACTTTATATGTAGTACATGTATGAAAATTTTATTAGTACAGAATTTCATAATTATAAATTAGTTTAATATTTACCTACTTGTGAAAAATTTTAAGTACATAATAAAAAACTTCATAATAAAAATGAACAATTAACTAGGTATTAAATAAATAAATAAATTGATATAATTAATATTAATTATTGATTATAAATCAACCAATTTATTTTATTGTAAAAGCTGTAATTTTATAAATTTTATTTCATGTTTATTAAATAAAATAAACATAGTAAACAATCTTGGACAATCTCTGCCCACTGAACACAATTTGTCAATGAATTAAATAATTTTAATTTTTAAATGTTAAAAGTTAAATAAAATTTTAATTGTAACTTACTAACAATTATTTGTAAATTAATAACTTTTAAACTATTAACACAACACATCTACAGGACATTATACTTACCGTACATTTACTAACTATTTAAACAAAAAAAATTATTATTTCTCATGATATTTACAATTACATAAAACAATTGCTTTTATATTTATTTGTTAAGTGAATCACTATTTTATATATTGTTTTCTCAAAACTCAAAGCAATTTATAATAAAACAAAATAATAAAAAGATTTGCATTTCGGGGAAATCTAAGCACACATTTAATATCAAATAATAGTATTATAGAAATCTTTTTGTTGATAACAAAAGCGGTATTTTATTATATAATTAATGAGAAATAATTCGCATATAATATAATTTATATGATAATCTAAAACCTTATACAGTGTTCAGTAAATACTAGATCATTTAAGTGATGAAATCATCATGAGCAATATTTTCTGATGACGTTAGTGAACACCCCGTCCCGGATCTGTTGGCGACTCAAAGTATGGGACGACTGGCCATAAAATACAACAAATTTATTAATTGTAAACAATTTGCTGTAAACAACAAACACATGAAACGGTATATTAGTGTACATTTCAGTGAGAGTTGTAATTATATTATCGC